AATAGGCTACTAAAGTGGTGAGCCAATTTAAAATCGTTAGTTTCGTATTGATTGTTGGTACTATCTTCGGCCCCAAGCAAATCAGTGTTGTACTAGAATTTCAACTAGAAATGGGGTACGTTAATTGATTTTCTTGCGACCAATAGGCTAATCAAGTAGTGAGCCAATTTTAAATCGTTAGTTTCCAACCGGTGCTATTGGTCCCAAGCAAACGATTAACGTACCCCATTCTAGTCAAAATTCTAGTACTACGCAATGTTTGTTTTGATTCGCTATGAAAGTTTGACAGATAAAATGAGGGGTTATTGGTTTTTCCTATGTTTCGAGGGGTGAATCGATAAGCTTGGGACCGAAGAGAGCAATGACATTTATATAAGGTCTGGGCCAACAGGCAGCTTGCTGATGTTAGAAGCAAAAATGTTGTAAACATTGCTGAATATCTCCGAACAGATAGAAATACTTCACTGCCAACAGCTGTTTCGTGTAAAAATATAAACATCGCAATAAAATACGAACACCACTAAACATTTGCACATTTCACTAACACCAATAAGCCCTTTGGCCCAGACCTTATATAAATGTCATTGCGAAGAGAGTACCAGAGCTGAGCCAAAAAGTTGAGCACGTTATTTCGGGACCTTCTAGTCTTAGAGTTACCTCTATGCTAATACAACCTAGCTAGTGTAGCTGTGTAAAATCGATTTGTTTATTATTTTCAACCACGAAATCAGCTGTCAAAGTGTTCGACTTGACAGCGGTTTGTTTTCTATTTTCAACCAGTAAAATGCATGTATTAGTGAAACTGATCACTAATACTAACAGTGGTAGAGAACTATATTGAGTACACGGGTGCGTTCCTTTAGTTCCTTCCAGCAGCATTGTCGTACCGTGGAGCGAGATTGTGCGCGATGAAAAAAGAAGAGCTGCATTGCTTCTCGGTTACTCGGAATTACCGGTGAACCTGGTAATGGGCTGACCGATCAACCACTTCTCCGTATCATTTTTTAACTTCATGGTACTATTGTATCCAGAGATGACAGCACAATATGTTTATAAACATTGAGGTAAAAAAAATCTGGCAAATCATACTATGAAATATGCCCTATCAGCATACTTGCTTTTCTGCTCAAATCAAGGTTTATCTGAAATCTGAGTTCCGAAAGCCAATTTCTGTTTTAGTGGTGTCATCAAATCGACTTGCAGTCTTCAACAAAGTTGTTTATTATAGTTTTAAATATAACATATTTTAATGTCATGCAAATCGGTTCATTAAGAAAAAAGTTAGTATGATTTTAGTGGGTCATCATTTTCTCCCATACTAATTTGACAAAAATCCCGAACAAATTTGAAATCGTTGGCGCGACCTCTTAACGTTGACCAATTTAGCTGATTCTTTGCACAGATGTTTGTTTTTGTGTTACGAACTGAACTAGGGGGTGGCCTATCAAAAATATCAATCTTTTTCCAGAATGAAACACCCTAATGTAGATCTTGACTAGTCAAAACGTCCTATTTTTTTCTATATTGTAGCTTGAAATTCAAAGTAAAATTGTGATTTTACCGTTTCTACTGAATTTCCGACGTTATTCAAAATGGTATTGCAAAATGAATTGTTTCTAAACAGCTAAAATAATAATCTGTCGAACTTCAACTTCGATTTTCTTAAAATGGCGGATATGTTACATTATACCCCGTTCACACTACAGCCTATATCACGTAATATAGGCTGTCTTGCAATGAGCACTCATACATAGGATTTCCAGTGAAAACTAGATGTATCAGTGCTCATTGCAAGGCAGCGTATATCACGTGATATACGCTGTAATGTGAACGGGGTATTAGTCTATTTGAAAAGGGACGCGAGAATTAATGGATCACATCATACGAGCAGTTTAAAATGACGTTTGCTACTACTCGAACTTTGCCGTGGAATAATGGTTTGATATTGTATCTTCAAGAACCTTGAACAAATAGGGTCTTAGGGACTGTTCATTAACTATGTAGACAGTTTTTTAGGATTCTTGCCCCCCCCCCTCTTCCCCTGCGTAGACAATTGCCCATACAAAAATTTTAAAATCTGTATGGGCCGTGGATAATTGTCAACCCCCCCCCCTCTAAATTGTATACGTAGTTTATGAACAGCCCCTTATTAATATTATATATTAAGGTGGTTCGCTGTGAGATCCTTATTCTCACTACCACTTCGAAACTTTAAGTGCACAAATATCAGCTTCCACGATACGTACTACAATGAAACTGTTACTCTACGTTTGCTGCGCTGCAGCATACATGCAGTAGCAATTTCAGGTGAAATGGAACTCTAATTTCCGAGATGTGTGTAATTGAAAATTCGAGGTGGAAATGCATTTATAGCCTACGTGGTGGCCATTTGTGGACTCTACAAGGAATCACCTTAAGCTCGAAAAATCTGCCATTTTTAAAAATCTCAAAAACTGCTCGAAAGTATGATTAATTCTATATAAGGCCGTTCGCAATGCTGAGTTTCAAAATTGTTTTAAACTACTCGTCAATTCTATAATTTGAAACTGTCAAAAATAAAACTGCAACACGATCAGCACAACGCACAGTTCTAAAACATGTTTGTTATCATCAAGTTCCATAAACTTTACTGTTCTCTATGAAGTTCTCCGTTTTTTATTTGTGGAGCTCTTCGAAACATCTTCAACACATCCAAAGAAATTTGAAACAGAGTTCCATTCGTGTTTCAAACTCGCTCAGAAATAAAACAGAATAGTCGAGCAGTTGCAAATCTGGTGCAAAATAGTGCTCGAATTATGAAACTGCAACTCAGCATTGCGAGAGGTGCGTTTCTGTTCTAGTTTCAAATTGAAACAGTCCTTAGGCCGTTCGCAATACTGAGTTTCAAAATTGTTTTAAACTGCTCGTCAATTCTATAAGTTCACAGTTCTAAAACATGTTTGTAATCATCAAGTTCCATAAACTTTACTGTTCTCTATGAAGTTCTCCGTTTTTTATTTGTGGAGCTCTTCGAAACATCTTCAACACATCCAAAGAAATTTGGAACAGAGTTCCATTCGTGTTTCAAACTCGCTCAGAAATAAAACAGAATAGTCGAGCAGTTGCAAATCTGGTGCAAAATAGTGCTCGAATAATGAAACTGCAACTCAGCATTGCGAGAGGTGCGTTTCTGTTCTAGTTTTAAATTGAAACAGTCCTTATAAAATACAACAGCATTGCGAACGGCCTAATATGAACGTCTGTATTCCATGGATAAAATCGTCAACCGCATCGAAGCGCAGTATGAGGCTTTCACGTGCAGAGTTCTGCATAACGGAGCCTTGTCCGACCCTATCCGGGTAGTCGCTGGTGTGAGACAAGGATGTATACTATCACCGCTACTGTTTCTCATTGTAATCGACGAGATCATGGTAGGTGCAATTGACCGTGTACCGAACCGTGGGCTGCTTTGGCAGCCTATCACCATGGAGCATCTCAACGACTTCGATTTGGCTGATGATGTTGCTCTACTAGCACAACGGCGCTCTGATATGCAGAGTAAGCTCAATGACCTAGCCCGAGACCGAGACGGCTAATACATAGGTGTAACAGTCGGAAGAAGTGTTAGTTTGTTTACTTAAATGAACCATGCCCATTTTGTTATGGCATGTTTGCTATAAGAAATGCGCCTCGTGTTTATTAGCGAATTTCACATAAAAGATTGATTAATTGAGTAAGAAATCAGTTTGGCACGGCATTTGTGACCAGCATACACCTTCCGGTAGTGTGAAACAGGTCAAAAACTGTTCAAATCCGCAGATAAAATTTTTGTTTTGAATTTCTGTATAGCAAAATAGTGAACTTTTCGTGAACATTAACGGCAAAGAACTCACCAACACTGGGAGACTGTGAGTTCCTGCCCACCTGTCATTTTCCATCGTGGACCTAGCCGAACGCTCCTCTGCGGCGGGTCTCACCATCAACGTCAACAAGACCAAATCGTTGGATATCAACACGGGAAACCCTTCCAACTTTACGGTAGCGGGGCAAGCAATGGAGAAGGTCGAAAGTTTCCAATATCTTGGCAGCCAAATAGCGTCGGACGGCGGGACCAAGAGCGACATAGGGCTGCCTTTGCGAGTTTACGAAACGTATGGAGATCCAACCAGAAAAGTCAACGCACCAAAATCCGAATTTTCAACTCGATCGTGAAATCTGTGTTGTTATACGCCAGCGAGACGTGGTGTGTATCAGCGGAGAACACTCAAAAGCTGCAGGTCTTCATCAACCGATGCCTGCGATATATTATTCGTGCCTGGTGGCCTCACAACTGGATCTCGAATGCCGAGCTCCATCGTCGATGTCATCAGAAGCCAATAGCAACAGAAATTCGAGAGCGAAAGTGGAGGTGGGTTGCCCACACACTTCGACGGGGCGGAAACGAAATTTGCAAGCAAGCGCTGGATTGGAATCCGGCAGGACATCGCAGCAGAGGCAGACCCAGGGGCTCATGGCGGCGGAGCCTCAATAAGGAAATTAAGCAAGTCGATAGGAATCTGACCTGGGTCCAGGTCAAGGCAAAAGCGAACAGCCGCCCAGGATGGAAGTCTTTCACGTTGGCCCTTTGCACCGCTGGTGGTGCACAGGACCCTTAAGTAAGTAAGTATTCCATGTTTGGGGCGGCTGATCATCGTCGTTTTATCGTGCCAGCGTGCTCTCGATAGCTCTAAACAGAGCTATCCCCGATGGTCCTCCGGAAAGATCGGGCAGGCCCAGTCATTGCAAATAATACTGAAGGAATTACGGACGACTTATGTGTACAGCAAAGGGCACCCAAGCCTTAGCTTTACTGGTAAAGTAATCATATTACATATGTAACGTGGAATGCAATAAATGAACGACTAGAAACCACCACATTCCAAATAATCGTCCCAATTTTGGATCGGGGGCAACTAGGGAACTGTGATATATGACAAATAACCAAAAGATCAATCATATTCCCACTAAACCTGATATATTCCAAGCTCATCAATCAACGTCCAACCTTTGCCGGGCGCTACGGTTCACTTTTCGCTTCTTGAAGAATGTATCGTTGAGGACGCTTTTCTCATCCGCCGGAATGTGGCTGATTACCTTCTCCTTGAACTTTTTCTCCGGGACTTCTGGCGCTGCACTCGGAACGTACAGAGGTTCAGGAACGGTGGGTAGTCCCAAATCGACTGGTCGTTCTTCCCTGCAAGGAAAAACCGAGATTTTCAACTATTCCCAAGCTGAGAAAAAAATCTATCTTACCTGTGGACAACCGACTGCCATCTCCCGTACGGTCCGGCAGCAGCATCCAGAGCCGCATCCTCCTCCTGCTTCTGCTTTTTGTGGTCTGTGATCGTTTCGATTTCCTCCTTTACCCGTCGATTGTGTTCGAACATTTTAGCCATTTGTTCACGTTTCAACTTGGCCGCAATCTCCTGAGCATTATCTACCTCATACTTCACCTCCTGCTTCAGGGCTTCCTCTTGCTTCTGCTGTACCACCAATGAAATTTTCGAATACTCCTCTTTCTTCATAAAGCCTTCCTTCGGTGGTTCCCAGACCGATTCGTTTGTCTTGATGTGCCAATAATAGGTGTATCCTTCGTCAGTCACCGCTTCGACCCAAAGCGATCCGTGTCCCATTTGGCTGATTTCTTCGAGGCGCTTCTTTTTGGCCGCTTCTACTATGGCAGCCGCAGTCGCCTTACTATTTGCTGGTCCCTCTTCGTCACTAAAGTCACCCGGAATGTAGAAGGGGTCTGCTTCGCGGCCAATCTTCTTCTTGGGAACCCTTGGACCTACACTGGGCCCGGCTGTGGCTTCCGCTTCTCCGATGGCAGCCGCCGCTGCGGCAGCTTCTGCCTTCTGCTGTTCTGCCAGCGCCCGGGAACTTATATCCGCTCCTGCTGTGATGTCCTGCATGTAGGCCTTCATAGCGGCATCGTTCATCTTTCGCATTTCGGTGTCCACTTTGCTTTGCTCCTTCTGAGCCTTGTAGCTGTTCCGACTGATGTCCGAAATACGTTTCTGGACATTCTGCTTATGGCGGCGACCACTTTCGTGAAATTGAATGCTCTGGAAGGAAAAATTACTTGGCTTGTTAGCAATAAATTGCAAATTACTGCCTAGGAATGCTTCCGTACTTACAGGTTTATTGTCCGCAATCCAGCATTGGCAAAAGTCGCAGTATTTGCGGTCATTGGACTTCCAGTAATCTGTCCTGTATGGTGAAAAAAATATGCACTTAAATATGGAATCTTGAATGATATTTGGATAATATACATCTTGAAGCACTTTGTATGATAAATAGAGGAGGAAATTCAATATAATTGCAGAACAAAATTCACTGAACGAGAACGTTTAAAAACACAAACTACTGTTTGGAAAACATTCAACTGTCAAACCACGAATCTAAACATTGATGAACCCGTTACTGAAATACATCAACAATGAGAGAGGTGGATGGGGTGGATCTCGTAAAAAAAGGTCTCTAACGCTTTTCGAGCAGTTCAGGTGAAACATATGTCAATCAAGTCTCAACAATCAATACGAAACTGACAATTAACCACTTTATTCGAGCACTTAAAATGACGTTTACTACCACTCGAACTTTGAAATAAAACATTATTTTGAGATTTTTTCTTCTAGAACCTCGAGAAAAGCAGCCAACGTTTCATAAAAAAATCTCGATGAACATTTCAAATGGTCCTATCTGCTTTGATCGATTCTCTTCATCGACTTTCTCTTTCGTCAATAACTCAGCTGCAAAACCTTTCCCTGTTGTATTTGACGTTTTGGACGCTAGATAAGAACCTCCTTTATCAAACTATGTGGTAGAATTACCGCGAAATCTGTTTGCATAGCAGTGGTTATGAAAAGAGAAAGTCGATAAAGAGAATCGATCAAAGCAGATAGGACCATTTGAAATGTTCATCGAGAAATATAAGTTATTTGGTCCAGTTTTGTGAAATCGCTGGTAGAAAGTCACGCCAAAACTGCTTGACAAAGTGGTCAATTGTATTCTCATATCAACATTCTCATTTACAACAGTGAAACAAAGTTTCAGAAATGGTTTTCTATTCCAGACCGGGGTGGGGAGAGTATTTTGTTTAAATATATTTATAAAGAGCATTTATGAATTTAAGGCTCTAATGTTTCAATAAATAGTAGCATGAAAGATTTGAAATGCAAAATAAAATTGCTGATATTCCAGCAAAATCAGACAACAACAAAATTACTGGACAACCAGCACCAACTGTCAAATCTGATTGCTGAAAACTCCAGTAAGCATTATTTTGCTGGAAGAATTACTGCTTGGTGAAAACCAGCAGGTTTCTAGCAAATTATATATACAGTGTAGTTTTTGTGTGGGTACACAGCAAAAAAAAAATGTAATATCGATCAACGTAATTCAAGCTGATGTATGAAATAATGATGTAATAGCAAAACGCAGATACAATATTACATCAATGGATGTAATTTTGTTCGCAAAATCGATGTACATCGTACAATGTGATATTACACAACCGATGGATTGACCTGGTTGCAGCAGTTTCGATGTAATATTCAACAACTTTTTTTGCTGTGTAGTAGTGAATTTTGTTCAGTGCAATCTGGCCGAGAAATTGAAATAAAATATACAAAAAACAAAAACCAACCATCAATCAGTTTCAGAAGAATATCGGTTACTTGTCAGTGGATGTGGTCCATTTGTCAACTTGTCGCTCCCAACTTAGTTTACTCATTTTTGAGCAGCTTCACTTTTGACAGATATGAGTGGATCCTACTTACATTTTTGAAGTTTGAATAGTAAGATGGGTATTTTTCAGTTATCGTGTTTTCATATATAAAATCACACCATCAGTACCAACATATTAGAAGGACCAAACTTGAAAATGTGATCAATGACTTTTAGCATCGATTTCTAGTGGAATCATTAACATTATTATCATAGAGGTAACCCCTAATAAAATTGTTATGGTTATTTTGCTTAACGACGTGTTCTGGGTATCTTCCAAACCATTAGTGGAAAAGTTCAATTATTTGGGTTATCGTTCGTTTATGGTTATTTTTTATTATTTTTGTTATTTTGTTATTTTATTTATTTACATCAACAGGCTGGATGAAGCCCCAATGATTTAAACCTTATCAACTATGGAAAAAAATACATTCAAGCATGGTCATAACCTAAAAAAAAAATACATTAAAAAACGTATATCTTATAGTCAATATCTTAACTCCTGCTGGCGAAAAACAGAAGAAAACTTTCGACGAAGCGCATCACGGGAAAGATGAAAGTCAAAAACAGATGCAACTCTGTTGAATGTTCTCTGCAGTCCGCAAATCGCACCGTACGCTCCATAATTTGTGCGACGTAGAGGCAGTCTTAGCATAAGGTTATTACGAAGCGGTCGGGGTTGAACATTCAGGTCAATTTGCCTCAGGATAGCCTCACAATCTGTCCTTCCTTGTAGGATATCGGCCACGGTAAGGGCTCTGTTTGTGTCTCTTCTAGTCCGGAGAAGTTCTAGGTCGATAAGTTGACAACGGCTTTCGTAGCTTGGTAATCGAAACGGATCGTTCCAAGGCAATCTACGCAACGCAAAACGAAGAAAGCGACGTTGAACAGATTCAATTCTCTCGGCACCGTTGTTGTAGGTTGGGTTCCAAACCGCTGAACAATACTCAAGCGTCGATCGAACAAGCGAACAATAGAGAGATTTTAGACAGTAGATATCAGTGAAGTTTTTAGCTATCCTAAAAATGAACCCTAAAGTTCTTGACGCCTTATCAACAACATATGCAATGTGTTGCTTGAATGAAAGCTGCGAATCCAAGATCACACCCAAGTCTTTCACCTGATTCACGCGTTCGATTGTCGAGCCAAGCAGGTCATAGCTAAATATTATCGGTTGTTGTTTTCGTGAGAACGTAATAGCGGAGCATTTGGCTGGGTTCACTACCATTCTGTTTAACCAGCACCAACTAGCGAATACATTCAGCCGACGTTGAAGAAAGTGACAGTCAGCAATGGAACAGATTCGTAGGAAGATTTTGAGGTCATCTGCATATGATAACCGAGGAGCTTCGATGACCAGATGTACGTCGTTGAAGTACAGTATAAAAATCAACAATCCCATGTGACTTCCCTGAGGTATACCTGATGTGGCGAAGAAGCTAGCTGATCTGCAATCTCCTATGGCAACCTTTAGTTGGCGACCGGTAAGATATGATCGAAACCAACTCAGAAGATTACCGCATACACCGAGCCTGCCGAGTTTAGCAATCGCAGTAGCATGGTTCAACTTGTCGAATGCTGCGGATAGGTCTGAATAAATAACGTCCGTTTGAACCCGATCCGACATGCTTTCGGTTATATACGATGTGAGACACAGCAGATTGGTAGTTGTAGAGCGGCCGACAGTAAACCCATGTTGATCAGCACTCAAATACTGCTTGCAATGGGACAGCAACGGTTCCATAATCACTAGCTCGAATAGCTTCGAAACGGCACTTAACGATGTAATTCCTCGATAGTTATCCACAGCTCGTTTCCTTCCTTTTTTGTGGACGGGAAACATGTGCGCAAATTTCCAGCAAGATGGAAATATGCCACCTGAGAGAGACATTCGGAACAGGCGAAGAAGTGGAATTAACAAGCTAGCAATATGTCTCTTCAAAAATACAGATGGAACTCCATCAGGTCCAGGATTGAAGGATGACTTGAGCAGAGTCGCGGCCTTAGAAATCATTTCTGCATTAACATCAATTGCACCCAGCGTTTGATCGTTTACTGGAACGTTCCTGGCAGCCAGGTTAATATGGTCGTCAGTTAGTGTCTCATTAGTGAATACACTGGAAAACTTTTCGGAAAAAAGGTGGCATATATCCTGAACAGTGGCAGCAACTTCTCCGTTGAATTCCATAAATGATGGGAGGCCGGATTCCCTGCGTTGCTCGTTCACGTAGTTCCAAAAGGATTTCGGGTGTAGCTTAAGTTTGCGCTGGATGCCTCGTTGGAAATTTGAAAAGCATTCACGACTGACTCGCTGGTACATGTGATTCAGCCTCACATAATGTAGTTTCAGAGGAAGCGTGCGATACTTCGTAAATCTTCTCAATGCTGCTCTCTTGATTGACTTCAACCTACGTAGCTCTCTCGTTTGCCAGGGAGGGTGAGACACTTTGTGGTGAGTTCTTTTCGGGACGTGTCTGTCAATGACATATGCCAAGACATGTGAAAAGGTTTGCGCTGCAGCCTCAACGTCATCTGGATCAAGGATGTTCTCCCATACCATGCTAGACAATACATCTATGATGCTACGGTGGTCAGCTTTACGGAAGTCATAAGAAACCGTAGCAGTATAGTCGCCAAAATCACGCACGAGTTTGTCCTCAACAGTGACAATTAGAGGAGGGTGATGTGGAACTAGCTTAGTTAGTGCACAAGGAGCCGAGGAAATTGATGGAGCCCTGTCCTGTGTGCTCACGAAGCAGAGGTCCAAACTACGACCATTTTCATTAACTACATTGTTAATTTGAGAAAGCGTCGCTGCGCTGTAGTTGTCGAGAAGGCTAATAGCTCCTGCGTGAAATGTAGAGCTATCAGGATCTGGATACAGGAATCCGCTATGAGATGGACTCCACGAAACGCCTGGCAGATTGAAGTCACCAAAAATGAATATCTCATCAACTGGAGTGGAACTTTCGACAACTGTGAAAACTGACCGACAGTGAGTATCGATGAGTTCATTGTCGCGGACTCGATCAGGTGGAATGTACAGAGCGCATAGAAATAGTGTGCGATCACCCAGATTGATGGCTGTCTTAGGGACTCTAAGACCACTGGGTCCCGAAGAAAATCATTATTATTTTTGGCTTACTCAGTACCAGAACAACGGTTCCAAGCAGTCCCAAGCTATTTCACTCACCCTTGCATGTTCTGCATGAATCCACACACCCCTGATTTTATCTGTCAAACTTTCATAGCGAATCAAAACAAACATAGTGTAGTAATAGAATTTCACCTAGAATAGGGTACGTTAATCGTTTGCTTAGGAGCAATAGGCTACTTAAGTGGTGAGCCAATTTAAAATCGTTAGTTTCGTATTGATTGTTGTTATTATTACCAGTAGAATCTGATTTAAGCAATTTATTTTTTTAATTTTTGGATTATTTAGTTTGCTAGTATCCCTAATAAAAATTGTATGGTTAATTTGCTTAACGACGTGTTATGGGTATCATCCAAACCATTTGTGGAATAGTTTAATGATTTGGGTTATCGTTCGTTTATGGTTATTTTTTATTAGGGATGAGTTGTCATTCGTGAGAAACAGAGGTTTAGAGTATATGATAACATTTTCTTATTAAGCCCTTGTGACAGGTTATTGTTGAAACGCAAAACGAATCACTCTTTTTCAGTACCGGAGAAACTGTCACTGGAAAATTTTGTTTACACGCTAACTTGAAAGTACCCATTAAATGAGTATCTTGTACTCACTTTTTGAATTTAGTCTGAACTGTCAAAAAATGAGTATTTACAAAAATGCAAAATCGGGTACTTTTTCCTCATTTTTGAAAATATCTTCGGCAATTTAAAAATGGTTAAAAAAATTCATTAATAATTCAATGCAAAACGTGACGCCATGTTTGAGCTGCATCGAAGTCTCGATCGAAGTAAACAGTGCTAATTTCGGATAACTAAAGTATGGAACAAATCTTTTCGGTGTGGTATTGTGAAAATAGATGATCCAAGATACTTCGAAAGGATTCGAAAAACTGGAAGGTAAGGATTTTTCCCGTTCCACGAAAGACTTCATGCAGCTTATTTCATTTACCGTTTGAACGCTCACATCTTATAATTTATTACCCCCAGAAACCTGTCCTGGATAATGCCCCTTTACCAGCTGTCGCATCGATGGACGTAAAGCGGGTGTAGGAGGTGGATACGGCTGAGGAGTTGAAAATTCCTTTATGGGAGCATGTTGACAAAAGAAGACCTCATGCAAACTTGAATCAGCTGTCTCGAAGTTGTGATGTGATTTGGCTATGATCGGGTTTTTTTTAAATTGCTGAATAAACAAAACTTAGTGTTTTAGGATTTTATTCAAAAAACTCCAATCAATGATTTTAAAATGAACTTAGAAATATCTATGATGACAAGGAGCCCCATGAAACAAAATTTTCGATAAAATGGGTACTTTTTACTCATGTACAGAAAAAATGAAGGGGTAAAAATACCCATTTTTTGAAGTATTCGGCGAATACTCATTAATGAGTAAAGTCAGTTTTACTCATTTCATGAGTTAAGCCACTTTTCTTCAAAATGGGTAAAATTTTACTCATTAATGGGTACTTTCAAGTTAGCGTGTACAATTTCGAAATGTTCACGGCGAATGAGGACACCCAAATTTGAGTTTAGTTTATTTATAATCGCCAAAAGTACAAGAACTCAGCGATAAGTAAGTTTGCCTCATGGTTTTCTACGAAAAAAAATTTACGAAAATATTATTCAGTCTAGGAGTAGTACTAATATACTAAGTGATCCAGTCTTTATTATCTGGAAAAACCTGAAAAAACATGGGGCAAATTTACTACTCGCTGAGTTCCTGCACCTAATGTGATTCATGAGTTAACTAAACTCAAATTTGGGTTGATCCCATTCGCCGTGTTGATGGCATTATTTTTCCACTCTCAACACTTTAGTTTTAAATTTTCTTTAAAAAGTGCTTAAACCCGTGCAAAATTATGGGTTTCGTCGAAGACGAAGTGGACGAGGTGTCCCGCTTGTGTTGCAATGTACTACCCGACTCGAAGCTGGTCACCTGCATGAGTACCCTGGTAAGTAGATCTTAATCTGTTAGTACTACTGTTATCTCTGGGTGATTTTCTACTGCAGATTCGTGTTGATATCTATCAAACCGAATCCCGCCAGCTGACGGCCTGTCTGCGGTTTCCCGTTGACTATCCTCGCAACAAGCTATTGATGGAGTTCAAAAGCAAGACCATGTCCCTTACGTTCCTGGAACGGTTCACGAAGATATGCGACGAAAAGGCACTGGAATTTGGCGGTAAGCCACAGGTGATGAAAATGCTTAAGTTTGTAGATGCATATCTTCGGGAAAATCCTCTTTGCATCGTGACGGAGGAAATCTTCAACATCAAAACGTTGCTGGCGGGGACGTACGGTGAGTTGAAATTGCGACAGAAAACATCCTGCGTTGGTCTGACGGCGAAGGGCGGTTCGCTCTACTTCAAGGCAAAATTCCACGTTCCGGAACAATACCCAGACCAGAGGATTCAGTGGGAAGACTTTGATTGCAACCTTCCCCCGCCGTTATTCCGATTCGTCGATGGGCAAGCCAAGGAAATTGCCCGTCAATGCGTTGAACCACCGCTGAGGCAGCTGAAAAATAATCCGGTGTTCACACCGAAGCCGAGCTTGGAACGAACCCTTCGATTCATAGTTGAAGCAATGAAGGGTTTCCCGCACGAACGGTGTCCCGTTTGCAATGAGCATTCGCTTCCGCAGGACTCGGCTGATGTGATACTTTCCGAAGAGGACGACAAGTACGTCATTCGAATGTTCTGCGGACACGTTTATCATCAGGAGTGTTTGAGGAAATTCATGAGTGAACCTCCGTTTCCACTGGGTGGCAAAATTTGCCCGGCGACGAAGAAACATCCCCGCTCGGATAGGCGTGGCGGTGGTAAAATGAAGGCCAGTGGCGGCACAGCTGGCAGTGAACTCTGCCAGCAAAGGGTAACGCACGACAAGTGGGGGTTGAATGACGTCAAATCGGCGGAAGCCAAATGGGCCCACCAGCAGGCAAGGATTCGCGAGCTGGAGGAAGTGATAGATTTTCTGCAGTAGTTGTTTTTGGTTTTCATTCATTCTATAGAACATAGGAAAGGAAAAAAAAACTGTGGCTCTCTGATTTGTGAAGGAAGAAATTCGGAATTTAAAACTTATCTTCTGTTTTGTTAGTCGCGTAGCGTACCTCTTGTTTGTAGAAACTGATCAAATTTATACATTTTGCCGACTGGGCATCATCCGGATCGTAACCAATCGCTATTTAAAGCCACGTTGGATATCTTAATAAGCAATGCATCGCTACTGTAACATGTAACATAAATGTTGTACAAGGTATAGAAGAGAATATAAACTGGATAGGAATTAAATGTGGTCAAACAAATTATTACTTGAAAATTTCCCACGGAGCTAATCATAATCTATTTTGCTTTATTTTTTAAAAACTGAGAAAACAGAGATTAGAACTTGTGCTAGGTAGGGTCTGTCTACAAATGACGTCGTATTTTAGGGATGCCACGTCTGCAAAAGTTGTGATTGTAAAGTCCTGTCGGAGGTTTTCTCATAGATACCGCTAAGGTACACCATCCCGAATCTGAACTGAATAAACTATAAAAACTTATATACATAGCTATTCAATCAAGAGAACTAAGAAAAGAAAATTGCCCTCGCGAATGTTCTTAGAGACGATACGAAATTTTATTACATTGTGGCCAAAATCGACCAATCGGTCATTTGCCACGTAACGGACTTAGTGTCGAATCCGCCGGCGGAAAATAAGTACAGTGCGGTGAAGAATCGTTTGATCTCGCGTTTTCAAGTGTCTGCAGAAGGAAGGTTGGAACGTTTGCTGAGTTCCTGCGATTTGGGTGATATGCGGCCAACACATATGCTCGCAAAAATGCAAGAGCTGGCAGCAGGATTAAACGTAACCGATGAGCTCTTGAAAATGTTGTTGAAATGCCCCCAAACGTTAAAGCCATTCTCACCATCAGTGACGGAACTATCGGTAAATTGGCGGAAATGGCCGACAAAATGTTGGAATCTTCGTTGTCCCACGTCGCAGCTGCGTCGATGCCCACTGGAAACAACGATATGGAAGAATTGCGAGGCCAAATCGCGGCTCTCACTACCGAAATTAGGCACATCAAGGCAAACCGCTCATCCCGTAGCCGTTCGACATCGCGTTCGAGTCGAAATGCAAGCGATTTCGAAATATGCTGGTTTCATCGCAAATTCGGTGGTCGCGCTCTCAAGTGTCGAGACCCGTGCCAGTTTAGTAACCAAAAAAACTAAACTCCCGTTCACCCGAATCGGCGGGGGTGGACGGAGCTCCGGAAAGTCGCCGTATTTTGATATTCGATCGTACCAGCAACACAAAGTTTCTTATCGACACCGGTTCGGATGTTTCGATTCTCCCAGCTTCAATTCGTGAGCGTTCGAATGGAACAGCACCTTTCGACCTCCATGCTGCAAACGGTTCCAGAATTAAAGTTTACGACAAACGATTTCTCACGGTCGATCTTGGTCTACGTCGGAGATTCAATTGGCGCTTCTTGATTGGTGATGTAGGTGTTGCGATTATTGGAGCAGATTTTCTGGCGTCGTACGGAATCCTCGTCGATCTTAAACACCGACGGTTGATTGATGGACTTACTAAATTATCTTCTATTGGGGGTATAATAGACACAACTGTTCACACCATAACCGTGGTCGCCCTAGATCATCCTTTCCGAGAATTATTGACTGAATTTCGAGAAGTGACGTTGCCAACTACAATTAAAACAACGATCCAGCACGATGTCACCCACTACATTCAAACGAAAGGGCCTCCCATAGCAAGCGAGTGTCGTCGCCTCGCCCCAGACAAACTAGACGCTGCTAAGAAGGAGTTCCAGGTGATGAGTGAGCTGGGGGTAGATGCCATCCGTCTAGCAGCAGTTGGGCTAGTCCTCTCCATTGCGTCCCGAAAAAGAACGGTCAGTGGAGATTCGTCGGTGATTACCGTGCTTTAAACCAGGTAACTGTTCCAGATCGCTATCCCGTACCACATATCCACGACCTGTTGAATACGTTTCAGGGCAAAAGCATTTTCACCACACTGGATCTCGAAAGGGCGTACCATCAAATTCCCGTGGAAGAATCAGATATTCCGAAGACGGCCGTCATAACCCCGTTCGGGCTTTTCGAATTTACGAGGATGCAGTTCGGATTGTGCAACGCCAGCCAAACCTTCCAAAGATTTATGCATCAGGTGTTTGCCGATATGGATTGTGTTGTGGTGTTTGTAGACGACATCTGCATAGCTTCGTCGACGGAGGAGGAACATTATCAGCACGTACGAGCAGTGTTCGAACGACTCCGATCTTACGGACTTGTGATAAATGTTGCCAAGAGCCATTTTGTGGAACGAAGTGTGGAATTTCTTGGTTACCTGGTTAGCAAGGATGGAGTACGTCCCCTAATAAAAATTGTATGGTTAATTTGCTTAACGACGTTTTCTGGGTATCATCCAAACCATTTGTGGAATAGTTCAATGATTTGGGTTATCGTTCGTTTATGGTTATTTTTTATTAGGGTCCACTTCCAAATCGCGTCGATGCCGTCGTCAAATTTCCACTTCCGACGACTGTCAAAGAGCTTTGAATGTTTCTCGCACTGGTTAACAGTTATAAAACGGTTTATTCCTCATGCCACTGACACCCAGATCGAATTACGGAGACTTATCCCAGACAACAGAAAAAACGATTCCAGGATGCTATCATGTACAGAAACCGCCGAAAAAGCGTTCCAGGAATGTAAAACTTCGTTAGCGGACGCCACGTTGCTGCATTTTCCCGATGCTACAAAACCGCTAAGTTTGCTCATCGACGCGTCGAACACAGCAGCAGGTGCGGTTCTCCAGCAGTTAGACGAAGGACGGTGGAAGCTATTGAGCTTTTACTCCGAAAAATTTTCGCCAGCGCAGCTCAAGTACTCAACGTTTGGTAGGGAGCTTACTGCGATGAAAATGTCCGTACAGTACTTTCGTCACCTACTTGAAGGAAGGAAATTCATTATATTCACCGACCACAAGCCACTCACAACAGCGTTAACTTCAAGTCTAAATTCCAGATTGCCGCACGAAGAACGATATCTACAATATATATCCCAATTCACCAGCGATATCCGGCATATCAGCGGGGAATTGAATGTTGTTGCGGATGCACTGTCAAGAATCGAAGCAATCAACGTTCCTATGGCAATTGATTACGAAACGGTTAACATCAAGTTCACTGAAACTGGAACCTCGGAAGACCCCCCTGGCATCTGTACCCTTGTATTGCGACGTTTCACAAAATAAGGTAAGGCCGTACATCCCCTTGCAACATCGCCAGGCAGTGCTGAAACACATCCATGGATTAGCACATCCGGGAATTCGCTCTACTCGTCGATTGGTTGCCGATCGATTTGTTTGGAAAAACATGAATAAGGACATCAAGCAATTTGTTCAGAACTGTTTATCCTGCCAGCGTTCTAAGGTTCATCGACATACGAAAGCACCAATCGAAAAGATTCCCCTACCGGATAGCCGATTTCGTCATGTGCACATGTGAATGGATATCGTTATCTGTTAACAATCATAGACCGTTATTCTCGGTGGCCGGAGGCGATTCCATTACACGATATGACCGCCGAAACAGTGGCTCGCGCATTTGTCGATACGTGGATTGCACGCTTCGGAATACCTGAGACTGTAACGACAGACCAGGGAAGGCAATTCGAGTCGGACCTTTTTCGTGAGTTATCAAGAGCGATAGGTTCAAAACATGTTCGAACGACAGCTTACCATCCAGAGTAAAATGGTTTGGTGAACACTCAAGGTGTCCATAATGGCAGTGAGTCAAAAACATTGGACTGCTGAACTTCCTATAATCTTGCTTGGACTACGAACGGCTTATCGATCCGATTTCGGATGCTCGGTAGCAGAGTTGCTTTATGGACAGACGCTGCGTATACCCGGAGAATATTTTGAGTCAACAGACGAATATAACGATCGCACTGAATTTGCAAAACAACTGAAATCCACTATGCGCAAATGGAAGCCTGCTGACCCAAACCATCATGTCAATCCGGCTGTATTTGTAAATGACGAACTCCAAAAGTGCAGTCACGTGTACGTGCGAATAGATGCTGTGAAGAAACCACTTGTGCAACCGTATGAAGGGCCGTACGAAGTAGCTGATCGTCACGAAAAGTTCATGGATCTTCGAATAAATGGGAAAGTTCAACGAATCTCAATCGACCGCATCAAACCGGCATTCATCTGCGATCAAGGAGTGGATTGTCATCCACAGGACGATAAAAATACGAAAATCACACAATCAGGACACAAAGTTAGATTCCTGGTGTGACTGGGGGGGGGGGACTCTGTGGTGCTTGGTATTGCTTTCAATCAGCGCACCCCTCGTGAGCGAACAGAGAAAAAGAGGAAGTGTCAGAGTTGTAAAACACGTGAGACAATAAAGAGCTCCTTGAGATTGTCGATTAAAGGGTGATACGGTCAAAATTTGGTCAAGGGAAAACGCGTGTAAATCGGTGAAATCGTTTATTTAAAAAATCAAATTAAATTTCTTTTTCAAGTTCAATTAGTATAAAATTCAGGAAAAATATTCAGTTAGGCTTCCGCTTTTCCAAATCCGAATTGCCGGGCCTTACGCTTGACCCCTGCCATCAGATTTTGTACAGCCACCTTGTCCACCTTCTTCGCCGCAGAAAGCCAGTTTGCCTTGAACTGCTGCTCGCCCTTAGCAGTTTTTTTGGTCTTCTTTAGGTTCCGCTTGACAATAGCCCAGTATTTCTCAATTGGGCGGAGCTCTGGCGTGTTGGGAGGGTTCTTGTCCTTGGGAACCACCTGCACGTTGTTGGCGGCGTACCACTCCATGGCCTTTTTACCGTAATGGCAAGATGCCAAATACGGCCAAAACAGTACGGAACAACCGTGTTTCTTCAGGAAAGGCAGCAGACGTTTATTCAAACACTCTTTCACGTAAATTTCTTGGTTGACAGTCCCGGAAGCTATGAAAATGCTGCTTTTCAAGTCACAGGTACAGATGGCTTGCCAAACCAGATATTTCTTTGCGAACTTTGACAGTTTCATGTGCTTGAAAACATCTGCTACCTTTCCCCTTCCTTTTGCCGTATAAAACTCCTGTCCCGGAAGCTGCTTGTAGTCGGCTTTGACGTAGGTTTCGTCGTCCATTACCACGCAGTCAAATTTCGTCAGCATCGTCGTGTACAGCCTCCGGGATCGCGCTTTGGCCGTCGTATTTTGTTTATCATCGCGATTTGGAGTCACTACCTTCTTGTAAGTCGATAGTCCGGCTCGTTTTTTGGCTCGATGCACGGTTGTAGACGATACACCCAGCTTATTTGCGGCATCTCGGAGAGAGAGGTTAGGGTTTCGCTTGAAACTACCGGCAACTCTCTTTGTCGTCTCAGCGGCTTCCGGTTTTCGATTTCCCCCCGATCCAGACTTCCTGGCTGTCGAAAAACGTTCCCCAAACACTTTAATTACATTTGTAACGGTTGATTTGGCAACTTT